CTTCCGGTCAAAGAGGAGATAACTCGTCGCCAGCTCACATTCTTCTACAGACTGATCACTCTACCACCATCAGCTTTATCACGCCGCTTGTTCACTTCCAGACTTCTTCTCTACCTCCAGAAAGCCGACTCAGACACTGTACACGGATTCTGTCCCGCAATTGTCTCCCTTCTCCAGCTCTACAATCTCGGACACCACCTCATTGCTTTCATTCAAGGTCTACCAATACCAAGAAAGCAATCGTGGAAAAAACTCATCACAGAACGAGTAACCCACAAGTATACAACTGAGTGGAAACAGCGTATAACCTTCGACGATGACTTCCAACGATTTAAGTCTCCACACGAAGCCTTCACCATGCCTCCCATGGACACTAGCCGGAAACAGACAGCACGTCAAGGCCTTCCACTTTCTAGCTCAGATGTGGATTGCAGTGCCTCAGTCCAGTGAAACGATCTGTGCCCTGTGCAAGCTCATGTACACGGACTTGCTCCATCATGTCTCTAGCGGATGCCCAGCACTATATGCCATCTACGACCAATTCTGGAACAACACGCTGGATTTTTAACCCCTGAAGCTACATGTACATCTCCACAACTGTGACGACGAGACATTACTGCAGTTGCTCATGGGTCGTCCACAGAGTGTGTGCACTGATGCAGAGGTGCTCCTCCACTTTCACAAACTCTCCGCTGTTTTCCTCATGTCTGCAATGTCCGCATACCAGCGCCTCATCACTATACAAAGTATGACCAGCAACTGACAGTCAAGTCACTCCAAATCAACATTCATGCTAGTTTACTAATATCAAACTTTCAGTAAATTAACACCTCTTACTTTCGTTGTACATACTCCCACTGTCAATTGATGTAATCAACATCTGATCTCCAATCCAAGGAGGAAATAAATATGATGATGATGATGCTGTAAACCTGATATTTTTATGAATGATTATTGATATTTGATCATTTTTAAGGTTATATCATTATGTATTTCTAAACCGAATCATCGGTTGATTGGTTGGAATGTGCGTACAACTAATTTTTCCGGTTTAATTTACGATGATGATGATGATGACTTCTTCTTTCATTTCAGCAATGTTTGTCAGATTTTTCTTATTGACACTTTCCTTCATAAGTCCTCAAACATTTTCTATTGGATTTAGATCAGGGCTATAGCTTGGGCAATCTAATAATGTCATATTTTGGGTCCGAAGCCAGGCCTGTGAATGCTTTGAACGATGTTTTGGGTCGTTGTCCTGCTGGAAAATCCAAACATTTCCATAGAACATGTGAGCAGATGGAAGTAAATGTCCCTCGAGAATGTCTGTGTACCGCTCACTGTTCATATTCCCTTCAAATACACAGAGGGGCGTTGCCCCTAAAGCAGATATGCCACCCCACACGTTAAACTTCCGACTGTACTTTGGGCGCTGATGCAAAGGTTTTTCAGTTTGTTTGGTCCAGAATTTCAGTGCATTAGGAAACAGCCACCACAGAACTTTCATTTGAGAAAATCACATCGTCCCACTTAAAATTTCTATGCTGTAAGCACCAGTTCAACCTTCGCTCCTTTTGTTCACGTTTCATGATCGGTGATGGAAATCCGCGACTATTCTGCCAACCCATTGCATGCAGCTCAGTTCTAATTGTCTCCTTACAGACAGCCACAGTTCCTCTATCAATCATATCGAGCCTTAAGTCCTTCTTTGTTTTTAGAAACAAGAATACCAAGCCGCCGCCTGTCACCGACAGTCAATTTTCTGGGCCTACCTGCGCCTCCCTGGTGCTCAATGCCATATCCATTTGCAATACTTTTCAAAACACGATAAACAGTGGACAAAGGGATGCCTGTTCTACTTGAAATCACTTTAGCTGAGGATCACTGAAAATGTCGTCTGCGAGCAAGTAAACAAAGGGGGATAACTCTTCATAAACTAATGAAAAAGGATGAACGGAGTTGATGATGATGCTGTAAACCTGATATTTTTATGAATGATTATTGATATTTGATCATTTTTAAGGTTATATCATTATGTATTTCTAAACCGAATCATCGGTTGATTGGTTGGAATGTGCGTACAACTAATTTTTCCGGTTTAATTTACGATGATGATGATGATGACTTCTTCTTTCATTTCAGCAATGTTTGTCAGATTTTTCTTATTGACACTTTCCTTCATAAGTCCTCAAACATTTTCTATTGGATTTAGATCAGGGCTATAGCTTGGGCAATCTAATAATGTCATATTTTGGGTCCGAAGCCAGGCCTGTGAATGCTTTGAACGATGTTTTGGGTCGTTGTCCTGCTGGAAAATCCAAACATTTCCATAGAACATGTGAGCAGATGGAAGTAAATGTCCCTCGAGAATGTCTGTGTACCGCTCACTGTTCATATTCCCTTCAAATACACAGAGGGGCGTTGCCCCTAAAGCAGATATGCCACCCCACACGTTAAACTTCCGACTGTACTTTGGGCGCTGATGCAAAGGTTTTTCAGTTTGTTTGGTCCAGAATTTCAGTGCATTAGGAAACAGCCACCACAGAACTTTCATTTGAGAAAATCACATCGTCCCACTTAAAATTTCTATGCTGTAAGCACCAGTTCAACCTTCGCTCCTTTTGTTCACGTTTCATGATCGGTGATGGAAATCCGCGACTATTCTGCCAACCCATTGCATGCAGCTCAGTTCTAATTGTCTCCTTACAGACAGCCACAGTTCCTCTATCAATCATATCGAGCCTTAAGTCCTTCTTTGTTTTTAGAAACAAGAATACCAAGCCGCCGCCTGTCACCGACAGTCAATTTTCTGGGCCTACCTGCGCCTCCCTGGTGCTCAATGCCATATCCATTTGCAATACCTTTCAAAACACGATAAACAGTGGACAAAGGGATGCCTGTTCTACTTGAAATCACTTTAGCTGAGGATCACTGAAAATGTCGTCTGCGAGCAAGTAAACAAAGGGGGATAACTCTTCATAAACTAATGAAAAAGGATGAACGGAGTTGTCTCTCTTGAATGAAACCAAGCACTTTATCTTCTGGATTTTGGCGTTAATATTGAACAGGTATTTCACTTATATCCGCGTGTTCATCTCTGACAATTGAATTGATTACAATGTCCATATCTACCATACACTGTATCCATTTGGAAATCAGCAACTATAAATATTGTTCTGACAATGGTCTCCATCCAGACACACTACTCTTGCTCCCTCATACACTGAAACAGCATTAACTTGTACTGAAGCAGGATAGTCATATAGAAAAAGTAGTATAGATTACATCAGTAGTATAGTGAGTGAGTGAGTGAGTGAGTTTGGTTTAACGCCGCTTTTAGCAATATTCCAGCAATATCACTGCGGGGGACACCAGAAATGAGCTTCACGCAATGTACCCATGTGGGGAATCGAACCCGGGTCTTCGGCGTGACGAGCGAACGCTTTAACCATCAGGCTACCCCACCGCCCCTCAGTAGTATAGAATACACATAGATGAACTCCGACAACGCACAGCATATAGGAAATGTTTATTCAGATTGATCACTACAACCATTATTGACAACATGTGCGTATAGACGAAGCTCTCGAGAAATAACTGCTGTAATAACATATCTGAGGAAACTTGTATGTTGTATATACTTGTATATTGTATATACTTGTATGTTGTATATACTTGTATATTTATATACTTGTATGTTGTATATACTTGTATATTGTATATACGTGTATGTTGTATATACTTGTATATTTATATACTTGTATGTTGTATATACTTGTATGTTGTACATACTTGTATATTTATATACTTGTATGTTGTATATACTTGTATATTGTATATACTTGTATATTTATATACTTGTATATTTATATACTTGTATGTTGTATATACTTGTATATTGTATATACTTGTATGTTGTATATACTTGTATATTTATATACTTGTATGTTGTATATACTTGTATATTGTATATACTTGTATGTTGTATATACTTGTATATTCCAGTAGATGGCAAGTACACATGTAAGTATTTTAAGAACAAAATTTATACAAAGCCATGAAATCCCTGCTAAAAAACTTATTGGGTTAAACAGGAACCTGGAATGCTTTGAAGTTGAAAGTTAGTCTTTGTAAACAAGGACATATTATTATTATCATTATTATTGACCCCTGATTTTACGACCCAGTGCGACCCATCTCATCGCATGAATCAACATAGATCAGGACCTTGTTCCACAAAGCGATCGTAGATCTACGACTGTCGTATGTCGACGTTAAAGTATGGGAATTACGATCACCTTAGCCCTATCATTGTCGTAAGTCTATGTTAAAGTATGGGAGTTACGATCACCTTAGCCCTATGAATGTCGTATGTCGACGTTAAAGTGTGGGAGTTACGATCACCTTAGCCCTATGGATGTCGTAAGTCTATGTTAAAGTATGGGAGTTACGATCACTTTAGCCCTATTATTGTCGTAAGTCTATGTTGAAGGATGCGAGATACGGTCACTTTAGCCCTATTATTGTCGTAAGTCTATGTTAAAGTATGGGAGTTACGATCACCTTAGCCCTATTATTGTCGTAGGTTTATGTTAAAGTATGGGAGTTACGATCGCCTTAGCCCTATGAATGTCGTAAGTCTATGTTAAAGTATGGGAGTTACGATCACCTTAGCCCCATCATTGTCATAAGTCTATGTTAAAGTATGGGAGTTACGATCACCTTAGCCCTATGAATGCCGTATGTCGACGTTAAAGTTTGGGAGTTACGATCACCTTAGCCCTATGAATGTCGTAAGTCTATGTTAAAGTATGGGAGTTACGATCACTTTAGCCCTATTATTGTCGTAAGTCTATGTTGAAGGATGGGAGATACGGTCACTTTAGCCCTATTATTGTCGTAAGTCCATGTTAAAGTATGGGAGTTACGATCACCTTAGCCCTATTATTGTCGTAGGTCTATGTTAAAGTATGGGAGTTACGATCGCCCTAGCCCTATGATTGTCGTAAGTCTATGTTCAAGTATGGGAGTTACGATCACCTTAGCCCCATCATTGTCGTAAGTCTATGTTAAAGTATGGGAGTTACGATCACTTTAGCCCTATGAATGTCGTATGTCGACGTTAAAGTATGGGAGTTACGATCACCTTAGCCCCATCATTGTCGTAAGTCTAGGTTAAAGTATGGGAGTTACGGTTACCTTCGCCCTATGAATGTCGTAAGTCTATGTTAAAATATGGGAGCTACGATCACCTTAGCCCCATCATTGTCGTAAGTCTATGTTAATGTATGGGAGTTACGATCACCTTAGCCCTATGCATGTCGTATGTCTATGTTAAAGTATGGGAGTTACGATCAGAACCAATACCATCAACGTCTAGTACCAGTACCATCAACGTCCAGTACCAATACCATCAACGTCCAGTACCAATACCATCAACGTCCACAACCAATACCATCAACGTCCAGAACCAATACCATCAACGTCTAGTACCAGTACCATCAACGTCCAGAACCAGTACCATCAACGTCCAGAACCAATACCTTCAACGTCTAGTACCAATACCATCAACGTCCAGAACCAATACCATCAACGTCCAGTACCAATACCATCAACGTCCACAACCAATACCATCAACGTCTAGTACCAGTACCATCAACGTCCAGAACCAATACCATCAACGTCCAGTACCAATACCATCAACGTCCACAACCAATACCATCAACGTCCAGAACCAATACCATCAACGCCCAGTACCAGTACCATCAACGTCCAGTACCAATACCATCAACGTCCACAACCAATACCATCAACGTCCAGAACCCAATACCATCAACGTCCACAAGCAATACCATCAACGTCCAGAACCAATACCATCAACGTCCAGCACCAATACCATCAACGTCCACAATCAGTACCATCAACATCCAGAACCAATACCATCAACGTCCAGTACCAATACCATCAACGTCCACAACCAATACCATCAACGTCCAGAACCAATACCATCAACGTCAAGTACCAGTACCATCAACGTCCAGAACCCAATACCATCAACGTCCAGTACCAATACCATCAACGTCCAGAACCAGTAGCATCAACGTCCACAACCAATACCATAAACTTCCAGTACCAATACCATCAACGTCCAGAACCAATACCATTAACGTCCAGAACCAGTACCATCAACGTCCAGAACCAATACCATCAACGTCAAGTAACAGTACCATCAACGTCCAGAACCCAATACCATCAACGTCCAGTACCAATACCATCAACGTCCAGAACCAATACCATCAACGTCCAGAACCAATACCATAAACTTCCAGTACCAATACCATCAACGTCCAGAACCAATACCATTAACGTCCAGAACCAGTACCATCAACGTCCAGAACCAATACCATCAACGTCCAGCACCAATTCCATCAACGTCCAGAACCAATACCATCAACGTCCAGAACCAATACCAACGTCCGGTATCAATACCATCAACGTCAAGAACCAATACCACCAACGTCCAGTACCAATACCATCAACGTCAAGAACCAATACCATGCGGGTGGGTATGAAAAGTAATCACGGTATGTTAAATACGGCTAGTCTGGACTAGTATAATTTTTCCACGTTCTGGAGCGGCTGGTAACCTAATGGTTAAAGTGCTTGTCCGCTGAAAACCCGGGTTCGAGAGATATAATACGTGATGCCCATTTCTGGTGTCGCCCGCCGTGATATTGCTGGAATATTGCTAAAAGAGGCCTAAAATTTAACTCACTCACTCTTCCACGTTCTCCCGGTTGTAATGTTCCTGGGCCCCTATTCTCGAAAGGATCCTAGCCCAAGGATGTCCTAACTTTGATCCTAGGGTCTAGGATAGGTGTCCTACCTTATTCTCGAAAAGTATCCTAGCGCTAGGATGTCCTAACTTAGGACAAATACTAAGATAGGTTCTGACGTGTCCTAAGTCTATCTTAGTGGAAGTCAACATAGAGTGGTACTTGTTTGTTCACCAATTTTGACGTCAAACAAAATAACTCGTCAAACTTACATTTGAATTTACAACAGAACACAGTTTTGATGAGTTATGAAGAGTTTCTTCAGTTCATATTATCAATTAATCGGTAATGAATAGACACACTTGTTGCAATGCACGCATCCTTTAGATCTACAAAAGAGATTTGTTCAATTCTTACCTATTCTCGGCCTTTTTTAATCACAACATCGCTCTTTTCAGTCACATTCACGTGAAATGTCAATGTCAAGGCCAACTTGATAGGGGAAGTAACTCTTGTTTATTTCCTAGGTGAATTTTTCAGTTTGTGAGATGACGCATAATGAGAGTTCAAGTCATGGTCATGATTTTCATAAAACAACCAAATACAATGAAAATATGTTTTTACACATATCTTTAATATCCTTATTTCTTTTTGGCAGACTTTCAATATTCTGAAGTAAAATTGTTATCGCCTTGTCAAAAAATGAATTTTCCAATTACTATAATCATGTGATGAAAATATCGAATAATTTCTTTTAGATCTACTAAGTCCATCAAAAGCTGAATTTCCTTATATTATGTGTTTTTTTATGCCACGAATCATGGGTATTATTTAGGGGAATCCCCAACTAAATGAAGGTTTTTCTATCTCACCTACTGAAGAGCTCGCTATCCTAGCTAGGATAGGTAGCACAAGTTAGGACAGGGATAGGATCATTTCGAGAATGGGTCTTATCATAACGGTAGGATGTCCTAACTTCTGTCTTAACTACTTAGGATCTGTCTTCGCTGGGACACTTTCGAGAATAGAGGCCCTGATGTTATACAAACCCCATCGTAGCCCTACTGCATTTTTTCAAAAGCACTTTCACGTCACTTTCATTCACAATAATTGGAGGCATTCACAGCCAATATTCCTTTTTGAATTGCCCTCCATATATATTGATCCATGACCAGAAAGATATGCAAGCAAAATAACCGGCAGTATATACATTACATATGCATTGTACATTACAGTACATTTAAGAATTTAACACGGCTCCCATATGTTACAAGAAGAATAAGAAGATTGTTTATTAAAGTGTCACACGTTGTACACCATAAAAGGCATCATATAATACAGGCATAAAGTTGAGCACAACACCCGGCCAATACTGCCCATGAGACACTACATTGCATTTGGAGACAAAAGTTAAAATTAGATAATAAATTACTAACAGCTATTAAAATAGTGCAGTGTTACATCTGACCACTTTCTAAATGGCACTGTGCATTCATAGCTTTCGGCCGTGGGAGCCGTACCAATTGACACCTATCAGAGGGGTACACAAAGTCTGCAGTCTAGACTACCAGTTGACCGACTTCCATTTTTGTGGAAGTCGCGATGGCTGAGTAGTTTAGGCGGCTGACTTTGTGTGCTGGCGATTAGGTGCCTGACTCTGAGGGTGTGGGTTCGAATCCAGGATGGGACTCAACCAAACAAAAGTACTAGAATCTGTACCTTATTAAGAAAGTGTAATCCCAAATATAACATATATTACATCTGACCACTCTCTAAATGGCATTGTGTAATAATTTAAGTATTGTTAATTGGCCTGTGTGTATCCCATTTATTACGAATGTAACGAAGTTATTCATTATCAGTAATCTCATGGATCCGGGGTGACAGAATGCGATGCTTGAGTAATCAGTGCTCGGACTTTCTCTCCTTTGTCTGGTCCTTTGAGCCGCTCCCCAGCCAGGCGACCACACCCACCACGGCCGCAATAGCCCCTCCCACAGCAAGGCCTGTGGCATAACTCTCCACCTGAAAGGGAGGATCAGATACAGATCATAGAAATTTCATATATAACAAACACGCTTATAACAAGCCAGGTTTCACAAACCAGGTTAAGTTTCTTTCAAAAACGGAGCGGTATGGTGGCCTAGTGGTTAAAGCGTTCGCTCGCCACACCGACGACCTGGGTACAATGTGTGAAGCCCATTTCTGATGTCCCCGTCGAGACATTGCTGGAATATTGCTAAAACCGACGTTAAACCACACTCACTCTTGCGAAAATTGCGATCAGAGAAAATTCTAGTATTTCTCGTTACTTCGATTATTCTCTGGTAGTTCGATTTTCTTCTCAAACTTTCGAATTTGAAACGCCTGGCTGACGCTCCGTCACATCCTTTGAGTTAGTGGGCTTTCATCCACCCTCGACCACGACTCTATGTTTGATAATGAAGTTGAAAACAGAACAATCAATTTGAAAATATGAAATCTATGAAAATATGCAAAACCAGACAAACAAACAGACATACAGACATTTTATACAGTATAAAGACCAAAGGCCCATAATACAAATAAATTATTAAGTTGAAACAAGCGCACATAGAAGGTTACAGGTTTATGCTTTGACAATTACAGCTCTAGTTTTATGTACTACACATTTCAAAATATTACAAACATTTATGACAATATTTCTATGTTTGTTTGCTGACAGTATTCTACAAAAATGGAGTAATAAACTTTTTTCTAGCATCATTATATAATTTACAATCAAAGAGGACATATAATTCATCTTAGATATGCAAATCGTGAACAATAAAGACCTACCTGGTCACTTCGTTCCATATTGTATCGGCACCATTTCACAAAATGCTCACAGTTGCTGAAGATGAGGTTGTAACCCACACGGCCGATCTTGGACAAGGCTCTTTCTACAATCTGAGACGGGGGTAAAGACCTGGAAACATAGTCATGAATAAAACAATAAACGCTCAAACTTTATTAAAAATTTAAAAGATTTATTTTCAAGCCTTCAATGAATAAAAAGCAATAAATTTCGTAGCAGTTCATATGAAAATTCAAAGGGTTGGTAATTATCTGATTTGATTTGAAAAAAGTCCATGTTGCAGATGTTAAAATAAGCAATAAAAAGCTTCATTGTCATCAGAATTGTGTTGGAATGATCTTGTAAAAGTGGTAAATAACGTCTCCAACAGGAGTCATCGAAAAATATTATTTATTTTAGGATATTTACATAGCGCAAATATCCACGCAACTTCTATTTAACCAACTCAACTCCCTGGGGAGTATTCCACTCATGCCGCCTGATAGGCGCAGCGAGTTTTCATACAACCTCATCATTTGTCATACAACCATTCACTGGGACACATAGTCACAGTATTTTGTCCAATGATATTCCACGTTACTAAACCCGCAACTAGGTGTCTGCACGTGTTCGTGTGTCTACCATCTGGTCACCTACCGTCGGATGAGTGGGTTGTGTACTGCACACTGGGGGTTGTGACAACAGTGAAAAAGCCTGCAAGTAATGTTAGCTCCAAGGTTTTTACACCCGGTTACAAGTGGGGAGCGATCCAGGCACCTTTCGCTCACTAGCTCGTCAACATTGCCTCCCTGTTCGCCCTCCCCTTCCTGGACAAATGACGGACCAGCAGGTAAAGGGGAACAGTCCATATATGTTACAGCAGAATTCTCTGATTGCGAGTTCGAATCCAGTGTCTATTTGAACAGTATGTAATTGTTCATATAAGGTACATTTTGGGCAAATATATGTTTCAGGAGGGTGTGCATCCTTGTTTTGTATTAGCGAACTACTCACTTCCACTTGGAGTCGTTGCTGTTATTCTTGTAGACCATGTCATCGCCAGCGACGTCCCAGAAGTTGTCTCGGCGAACGATCGCCTTGTCGAATGTTACTCCGCTGATGGTGAAGATGTGCGTCCTGTCCACCTCGCCAAGGCCGTCGTCGTCCTCGCCCGAGAGATGGATCACCTCGCTGTTACCTAGGTAACACAAAAGCTGCTACACCACGTTTCCTATAAACTAGTTCAATATCATGTAAAACAACTTATAAAATATAAACTGTCATGGTAAAACAATACCCACTCTGGGTGATCCTGACAGTCAGGTTCCAGTTGGTGTAAAGGGCAAAGCATCTGAGTTTGTGTGTCTGGTGCTTAACGCCGCACTCAGCAATATTCCAGCTATATGGCGGCGGTCTGTAAATAATCGAGTCTGGACCAGATAATCCAGTGATCAACATCAGCATGAGTATCGATCTACGCAAATGAAATATGATGACATGTGTCAACCAAGTCAGCGAGCCTGACCACCCGATCCCGTAAGTCGCCTCTTGGGACAAGCATGGGTTGCTGAAGATCAACTCTAACCCGGATCTTCACGAGTGAATTCATCTAGCTAAAGCACTTCTTCATTAATGTGACTGATTCACCACTCCTTGTACTCATCGGGTGATCAGAGTGTTAGATTATGTAGACACAAAAATATTTTTGGGAAATCGAGATTGCAATATAACATTAAATCTGATTTCTGCAACTTATCATTTGTTGGTGCGCGGTAATCACATGAAGGCGATGGGACAAATGGAACTCTCACCATGGGGTGGGTTCCAAGCGGTGGGGTAGCCTAGTGGTTAAAGCGTTCGCGCGTCACGCCGAAGACCCGGGTTTGTTGCTTTACATGGGTACATTGTGTGAGTTCATTTCTGGTGTCCTCACCCGTGATATTGCTGGAATGTTGGTAAAAGCCGCTTAAAACCCAACTCACTCACTAGAATGCTGTTCAAAGAGGCATCAGACGAGATTATTGGTGGACGGTACATGGAATTCTCATGCTCCACGCGATGAGGTAGCCTAGTGGTTAAAGCCTTCGCCCGTCACGCCGAAGACTCGGGTTCGATTCCCCACAAGGGTATAATGTGTGAAGCCCATTTCTGCATTCGTCACTACTCGCCCCTTTCCGTAACCTCCAAGAAGACTCGTCCCTGTCTCGATGCTTGTTATGTGCGAAAATACGACAAACCATTCAGAACGCGCGTGATGATTGCGGTGCGATGATAAAAATATTCCCGAGTACTTAAATCGTTTATTAAACTATGTCATTGTTTAGAAAATCATGAAAATAAATATATCGTCTTATTGAAAGTACAAAGAACGTAGCTAACGGAATTGTGTTGCCTCATATGATGTTTTCAATAAGGATAATGCCATGGACAAATACACGCACGTGCGTTTGTTTACATAACGGTTCTCCTATTTCAAATTGAGTGTTTTCTCGGGTGAGTAACGATGACCTACCAGTGAGTAACGATGACCTACCAATGAGTAACGATGACCTACCAATGAGTAACAATGACCTACTGGTGAGTAACGATGACCTACTGGTGAGTAACGATGACCTACCAATGAGAAACGATGACCTACCTGTGAGTAACAATGACCTACCAGTGAGTAACGATGACCTATAGTTGAATAATGATGACCTACCAGTGAGTAACAATGACCTACCAGTGAGTAACGATGATCTACCTGTGAGTAACAATGACCTACCTGTGAGTAACAATGACCTACCAGTGAGTAACGATAACCTACCTGTGAGTAACAATGACCTACCAGTGAGAAACGATGACCTACCGTTGAATAACGATGACCTACCTGTGAGTAACAATGACCTACCAGTGAGTAACGATAACCTACAGATGAGTAATGATGACCTACCGGTTAGTAACGATAACCTACAGATGAGTAACCGTGACCTTCCGGTGAGTAACGATGACCTACCGGTGAGTAACGATAACCTTCAGATGAGTAACGATGACCTTCCGGTGAGTAACGATAACCTTCAGATGAGTAACGATGACCTTCCGGTGAGTAACGATAACCTACAGATGAGTAACGATGACCTTCCGGTGAGTAACAATACCCTACAGATGAGTAACGGTGACCCACCGATTAGTAACGGTGACCTAGAGTTGAGTAACAGTGACTACAGATCAGTAACGGTGACTACAGATCAGTAACGGTGACCTACAGATCAGTAACGGTGACCTACAGATCAGTAACGGTGACCTACAGATCAGTAACGGTGACCTACAGTTGAGTAACGGTGACCTACAGTTGAGTAACAGTGACTACAGATCAGTAACGGTGACCTACAGATCAGTAACAGTGACTACAGATCAGTAACGGTGACCTACAGATCAGTAACGGTGACCTACAGATCAGTAACGGTGACCTATGGATCAGTAACAGTGACTACAGATCAGTAACGGTGACCTACAGAAAGGGTAAGTATGATCTACAAATGAGTAACCATTACCTACCGATGAATAACGCCCAGTGGGAGTACATTCCTCGTTTAAACTCCAGCAAATCCCCAACCTCCAGGTCAGTGTACACAGCTTCATTATGGCGGCGAACCTCCTTTGACGTCATTCCGGCACAAGGTCACGAACTGTTGATATTATCAAGCAAAGAAATCGCAATAAGGATCGGTCTGTTTTTCATTGTTTAATGGAACACCCAGCAACTGTCCCGCGACCCGACGGCGGTCTGTAACTGATCGAGTCTGGACCAGACGGGCCAACGATTGACGTCATGAGCATCGATCTACACATTCGGGATATCATGTCATGCATCAACCAGGTCCGCGAGCCTGACCATCCGATCCCGTTAGTCGCCTCTTATGTGAAGTATGGGTTACTGAAGACCAATTGTAACCCGGATTGAAACAGTTGAAGTCTGACTGGATTCTGCATTTCGAGTTCAGAAGGGAATTCGTTATGTGACAATTATTGAAAGATATCAGATCACCAATATATCACGTAGGCTCCTTGAAACAATCCACTAGCCTAGTGGTTAAAGCGTTCGCTCATCACGCCGAAGATCCGGGTTCGATTCCCGGCACAATGTGTGAAGCCCATTACAGGTGTCCCCCGCCGTGATATTGCTAGAATGACTCGCTCACTCACTCCAAATAAACATTTGATAAAGTTGGAGTGATTGGACGAGCGCTTGGCGAACCAACTCGCAGGACACCAGCACATGGGTACTTAGTTGCTTCAGGTGCGCGGGGTATGAATGTATTCAGACAGAACAGGGGCGGTGGGGAAGCTATACTCACTCACTCACTCACATTGACGTTACGCCCAGCATGTCTTGAAGGAGAGAGGGGATTCAAACAAAAACGAAAGCGCTGAGATTGAACTGTGAAGCTCCAGCTTGGAGATATCATGTGACATTTATTATCTTAAAAGCAGTCTGACATCAGCTGCTTCGAACCCTTTTGCCCAACAAATCAGTGCTAACACTTGCAGGAAATGTTACAAAATTTACGGTCTTAACCAGCCCTGCCCTGAAATCTCACAAATTCCGTTTTTTCCATTTGGGAACTTGGATATTTTACACATCTTTAATCTTTGACTACGTGTATCCGACCATGCAACGAAACGAAAAGTGCTAGAATATATTCGTTACGAGAAAGTGTAACATAACCTATCTTACAAGGTACAAGTTGGTAACCTGCACTAAATCCCTCCGGCTGCCTGGGTGATTGTTCTTCCTAACTCACTGAATCGATCTCCAGCAATATTCCAGCTATATGACGATGGTCTGTAAATAATCGAATGTTGATCAGACAATCCAGTGATCAGCATCATGAGCATCGATATACAAAAAATGAAATATGATGAAATGTAGCGAGTCTGAATACCCGATCCCCTACGTCGAATCTTATGACAAGCATGGGTTACTGAAGACCAATTCTAACCCGGATCTTCACGGGGAGACAAGCATGGGTTACTGAAGACCAATTCTAACCCGGATCTTCACGGGGAGACAAGCATGGGTTACTGAAGACCAATTCTAACCCGGATCTTCACGGGGAGACAAGCATGGGT